GTTCTAAAATTTCTTTTCTCTATTTGAGACCTCTCATATGCTCATTTAGTAATATATGAATTGTGGGGTATGGGTGGCACGGGTTCCGAGGGATTCAAAGCCTTATGGAACACTTGAACTAGAACTTAAAGCCTTAAGTTATGAGAATTGACCAAAGTTAATATTTTGAGTAAACAAACTTAGATTCATGATTTGAAAGTTTCATTAGATTTGTATGAGAATTCTGAACTTAGTTATGTGTTCAAAGCAGGATCTGAGGGGTTAGGGTATGATTCGACACTATTTCATAAAAGTTGTAAACTTATGAGTTCATAAATTTGATTTGAACTTTAATTTTGAGTTGCGATGTTTCTATATATGTTTTGAACCCTTGAACAAGTTCGTATTGAATATTTAGACAAGATTCAAAGTCCAAATTGGACTCGACTAAAATATCAAGATGTATTTCCACTTGGATGTTTATCTAGATTCATGTCCTCCGTGAGATTTGACAAAGTCAGACTTCTTAGCTATAATTAATTAAATTGTATTCTTTTGCGTGGAAAAACTATAACGCCCCATGAAAGACAAAAGTTTGTAATTCCTCGGTCTTAATTTATGTAGCAGTAATAGATTCGGCATTTTTAAAATTTATGATCTAAAATAAGCCATATATGTTTGCATAATTATAAACCATCTTATTAAGATAAAATGAGAAGTTTAAAGTTAAATTATTTTTAAATATAAAATTATGTCATTCTTTTTTAGATAAGCTAATTAAAGAAAAGTGTATCGGATAAAGTGGGACAAAGGAATATCAAGATTAATTAATCGATCTACTTTTAAAATCAAGTATCACCTTAGCTCAATAAGAAAAAAAATCTTGTTTTGGTGTAAGTAATTAATTTGGTATTTGTCTAAACTCCTCTTTCTCTCCTTAAATACAACGATAATATTAATTGTGATCCCACAAGTGGGGTTCGAGAAGAGTAGGGTGTACGTAGACTGTACCCCTACCTTTTGTGAGATAGAGAGGCTGGTTCTGATAGAGCCTCGACTTAAAAAAAAACTTTTTCAAAAGAGGTTTAAAAAATTAAGAGAGTAAAAAAAGAAGAAGATGAAAATACTAATAAAGAAAAAAGAAAAATATTGATGATGATGATGATAATAGTAGTAGTAGGCGCTTTTTAAAACCAATAGTCACCTTTTTGAATTTAAAAAAGAAAACTATTAAAAACGTTTTCTGAAATTTAATTTTAAAATGTTTTAAACTAATTAATAAAATAATAGGTGACTAAAAATTAAAATATTTCATCTAAAACATTCTTTAAAATATTCAAACTATATAAGATAAAGAAGTGCTTTTTAAACGCTTCTTCCTTTCTTTCTTTTTCCGACGAGGGATAAAACAATCTTTTCTAAATACTCCCATCAACTAATCTAACAATTTTGTCATCTATCACTCACCAATTAATTTTGAAAAGTGTACAAATTTACCCCGATGAACTTTTGAGTATAGTTCAGAATTACAAGCTAGAAAAATAATAGTATTGAATTAAAGTCACGAAATTGCTCAATCTCGCATGCCGTATAGTATAGGGGCAGCTTCGACCTCCTTCTCCGAATATTCGACCATTTTTTTCTCGTAAAATCAAACGTCTCCATCACTGTACTAGATTTGAACTTTCTACATTTTTTT